GGGTCATTATGTTACATATCCCAGAAGAGGGGAGTAGTATGTTGTATATAGCTGTGTCTGCTCTCCTGTGTACCACACTGTATGATGTACAGGTATGTGGGAGAAACATTCACTGTTGTATGTAACCATGCCCCCTGTTCTGTGTACCACGCTGTATGGTGTGTGTGTGTGGGGTCATTCACTGTTGTATTAAGCCGTGCCCCCTGTTCCGTGTACCACGCTGTATGGTGTGTGTGTGTGTGTGTGTGGCGTCATTCACTGTTGTATATAGCCGTGCCCGCTATTCTATGTACCACGCTGTGTGTGTGTGTGGTGTTGTTCACTGTTTATATGTAATCATATCCCCTGTTCTGTGTACCATGCTATATGGTGCGTGGTGTCAATACAGTGACTGTTGTACATAGCCGTGCCCCCTGTTCCGTGTACCACGCTATATGGTGTGTGGGGTCATTCACTGTTGTACGTAGCCGTGCCCCCTGTTCCATGTACCATGCTATATGGTGTGTGTGTGTGTGGGGTCATTCACTGTAGTACGTAGCCGTGCCCCCTGTTCCGTGTATCATGCTATATGGTGTGTGTGTGTGGGGTTATTCACTGTTGTATGTAGCCGCCCCCCCTGTTCCATTTATTCCGCATTGAGTAATTTCTTTGGGAACAATTCTCTAACGTATCCTAGAATAAGGGAATGGCATGCTGTATGTAGCCGTGTTCTCCTGGTCAGTGTACTCCGTTGTATGTTCTGTGTGGGGGGCATTCTCTGACATGTCCCGTTATAATATGTTACATGTAGCTGAGCCCCCTGAGCGTTGTCTTTACCAGCGGTGCCAGTACGCGGAGGGTAGACCTTGCCATCTTTTCTTGTATCCAGGACAACCAAGTCTGTGCAGTGTGTGTGGGATGGCAGTGTGTGCGTTATGCACCAAAAATCACTGTAAGCTGCAGTCAGTCTTCCATATCCAGAAATCCCTGTTATTACACGATGCCGAGATGTAAGACTTTCTGCGTGTTCTTGGTAAATATTTTGTATGTCCATTTGGTCTTTGGGGATAGTGATAATTTTTTATGAAACCGTAGAGCGCGGGTTTTTTTTTTGGGGGGGGGGGAATTCTGGTGGTTTCATGATTACTAGTAAAGGTGCCTAAAGACTGCATGGCCTATGGCTGGATTGTGTCACTCTTTTCTATATCCTGGCACACATCGTCATCCAAGGCTACTCATGGGACAGTTTAGAAAACCTTGTGCAATCAATTTTTATTTCCCTTAAAAAACATTACTGCCATTGGTGTCTGCTTTGCGCTTCTCCTACCTCACTCCATAGACCGTGAGGTAGGCCAAACTTCGGCACTCCAGCTGGTGTTGAACTACCAATCACATAACGCAGGGGTCGACAAACTTCAGCCCTCCAGCTGTGGTGAAACTACAAATTCCATTAGGCATTGCAAGTCTCTGACAGCCACAGGCATGACTCCCAGAAACATGATGGGTTATGTAGTTTCACCACAGCTGGAGGACTGTACTTTGGGTACCTCTGCCATAAGGCATTGCAAGACCCTGAAAACTTCAGGTATGACGTCCAGATTGAGTTGCATGATGGTATTTGCAGTTTCCCCACAGCCGGAGGGCCGAAGCTTACCTACCATTGTGATAAGGCATTGCAGGACTCTGACAGCCACAGATATGGCTTCCAGAGGCAGACGCATGTTGGGATTTGTGGTTGCACCACAGGTGAAGGGCCGAGGTTTGACTAGACTATGCTGCTGTCTATGTTGAAAGACTCGGCTACAGACCCCTAAACTTGCGGTCCAACCAATGTCTAGTGTCAGATTTAGTAGTAGCAGGTGCTTTAGTGTTGGTCCCTGGATCCTGCACTGTTGGGACACTAAACCAACCATTGCCCTATAGTTGCTTGCTGAAGTCAATATTGGGAATATTGGACCATGTGGATGTGGGGTAGCACCAGTATGTACACTGCTATTTCCACCGGAATCACCTCCTCCGCTCAATCTGGCCTCCATGATGAAAAGTATCAGGAGAACAGATAGCGCCATTGAATGGAAGAATATTATTTGAATGATTGGCTCTTCTATCATGAGGCTGTAGACTTTATCAAACTTCAGCTGCTGGATCATATTTTCCACACGTATATTCCTGGTGGTTTTGGTTCTCCAATATTCTGGTTCTGTTTTTAGAATCTGTGTTTAAATCTGTGAGTCTTTTGTATTAATCTATTTCCAGATGGTTTCTTTGTGGTCTCCTTTATTTGTCTAGATATTTACAGGTTGGTGGGGCTTTTGTATAAATCATCCAGTTTCTAGGTGGTGAATCTCACCCTCTTAGCTGGATATTGCCAAGTTCGTGGGCATAGGTTCTCCTGTATTATTCTAGATATTGCCAGGTTGGTGAGTATATGTTCTCCTGTATTTAACTACATATTCCCTGGCTGGTGGTTGTAGGTTGTCCTGTGTTCTGTTTCTGTGTCTAGATAAGTATGTGCGTCTCTTGTATTAATCTAGATATTTCCAGTTGATTGCTGTGTGGTCTCCTGTATGAACAGGATATTGTAGCTGGGTGAGTGATTGGAGGCTGCGTATTACTTAAGAAGCTTTATATAATTAGTGCTCGTCCAACAGCTGACTTGGCAGCCAGTAGATCTGAAACACCTTCAAATGAACTCTGAAATCTTCTTAATTCCACATTAGACAGGTGAGTAAGTTTCCTTCCTTACAATGTTGTCACACCTCTTACCCTGTGAGCCCACAAAGCTCACTTAATTGAGGTGACTTGTGGATGTGATGGGGTTCTTTAAAGGAGAACTATGGTGTTAAGTCTTTTCCCCATAGTTCTCCTTAGGGTAACGGGAGGACACAAACTAGCGTCCTCCCGTCACCCTAAGCTCAGTGTACCGCAAGCTACTGCTCGCTGTATACTGAGACGCCGCAGCTGAAGCGGATCCCGACGATTGTGCCGGGATCCGCCCAGCTGCGTGACTGACAGCTGGCTCTGCCTATCTAGAGGCAGAGCTAGCTGTACCCGCCCCCTCCACCGTCCGTTCCGCCAGTCAGCGCTGGCGGATCGGAGCGGGGAGGGGGGAATCCAGCCCCTCCCCTGTCACGGCAGAGAGCCGTGACAGGATCGAGAGGTGAGCAAACGCCGCTATGTGTTCGCTCACCTCCCGATCTACTGAGCCGACCTGTGACAGTCTCATTGTCACAGGTCGGCTAGAACTATGAGGTGAGTGAAAATAATTCACCTCATAGTTCTCCTTTTAAGTAGATTAAGCTGGAGCAGTAGCTTCCATCAAGTACGTGTTTCTCAAAACAACAGACCACCCAACCATGAACAAGGGTTGCAGCCTAAAAGGTAGCCATCAAGTGACTCTTCTCATTCAGACCACATGGCAAATGAATATGGAATTCAGGAGCCAGCAGGATATTTTTTTTTTTTTGGAGCCTGCTCTATTGACAGCAACTAGAGAAAACCTCCAAAAGTTGGGGACCAGCTGTAAGAATTGGCTACCTGGCTCCTGGGATTTGTCTAGCCCTGCTGTATTTATGTTTTAGAATAAAAGTAAAGCCGCTGGCCTTGGCTGTGGTTAGTTGCTTACTTAATCTCTATGTTTAGATGTCACTTTAAACCCACATAACTGAGCAACATATAACTTGTTCTAGTCAGATTATCCTCGGCAAGATGGGTCTTCTTCATAGCTGTTATCTGTGTGATGTTAGAAATAGGAAGAACGTTTAGTGCAAATATATTTTGCCCCTTCCACTTATGTGCATAAGTAGCAATGAGCCATGAGTTTTCTGCATTGACAGGTGTGTGCACTGATCAATATGTGCTAAAAAGGGATATTCTTATGAATACAACACACCGGTATCTATAGAGACAACTGGAAAACTTTCTCTCCAACATAGACCACTAGGAGGAATGGGGGACTGTCAGTCCTACATAGGGACAGGTGGGAGGAAAGATAAACTGTCTTTTCTTAACATGGGGACAACTGGAAGGAAAGAGGGACTAGCTCTCCCACACAGGGACAGAGAGGAATGGTGTCTTCTATGGAGGGACTACTGGGAGAAAACATGGACTGTCTTTCCTACAGAGGGTCAACTGGGAGGAAAGATGGACAGCTGGCGTAAAAGGACCGTCTCCCTTACAGAGGGATAGCTGGAAGAAAAGAGGGACTGTCTCTTGTAGAGAGAGAGCTGGGACTTGTTAACTTTTTTCATCAAGTAAAGATTCTGTTTGTGTTAATAAACCGCTCCTGTGATGCTGGTGGGTCAAATGGGTCTATCTGTTCCTGTGTCGGATAGTGACTTGAGAACAGATGAAGAGAGTATTCGTTGTGACTGTTGCTTGTCTCGGGGAATAGGGGATCCCCTATGTGCAGTGGAAGGAGAGTCTGGAGTCCTAACTTAGAACTGGGTAGTAGTATTGTCCTTGACAATCCAATCCTGGCGTTTTATAACTGTCTCTCTGATAGAGGGACAGCTGGAAGGAAACGGGGATTGTCTCTCCTACATTGGGACAACTGAGGGGAAAAGAGGGATTTTCTTTCCCACAAAGAGAGAACTGGAAGGAAATGGGACTGTCTTATTTCATATAGAGACAACTTTGTGACCTCCCTTTTGCTTTTTTCCCCCCTCCAGTCTGTACTGTACATTCTAGGTCTCTCCTGATATATTTTATCCCTCAGACCTTTCACCATTTTTGTTGTCTATCTCTGAATATGACCTCACTACAAATGTTTTTGTTTTTAAAGTGAGGTCACCAGAACTGGACACAGTATTCTAAATGAGTGACCTCCTTCCTCCTGCTTTGGATACGTCTAGTGATGTTCCTCACATTTCTCTTTGCTTATCCTGTTGCCTAGCCACCCTCTCTGCTCACTTTGCAATCATCTAAAATGAACACTCCTAATTTTTTTGTACCCCTATTGTACTCTGAGAAAATTCTCATCAAATGATTGTCTTTATGGATTTCGCCATTCTTCTTTCTATGCCTTAGCAGGATTATTGATATGTTTGGTCTCCTTTTTGTTTCTTCACTTCTACATCAGTAACACTTTGTTTCTTTGTATCTTTTTTTTAATATGCTGATTTTCTTTTTCCCTATTTACTTACGCAGTGAACCATAATGGTTTTGTCTTCCTCTTATCACAGAGCATCTGTAAGTGGCGACACATCTGCTGACTGATGCGAAAGGGAAAGACATGGGTGCTATGAGACTATCCTGACAGAGACAAACATTTCTGCCATTGGATCAACAGAGTATGTGTGATATATATTCTATGTGTACATGTGTAGAGATCATGGGCACATACACATGTACAGTGTCTGGAGCAAGTGTTTACCCCCGTGGGTTTTTAAAACTGTTTTATTGCTGTTTAATTGCATTACAACCTGGAATTAAAATGTTTTTTTTTGGGGGGGGGGGGGGGAGAGTGGTGTTGTGG